GTCTCTTCCAGGCAAACAAAGGAAAAATTAAAAATTTATCACGCAGCTCAGACTTCTAAAGAGGTCCTTGAAGAAGGAAACCATCAAAAGATTAGTTAACACTGAACAAGGACAAGGATAAGTAAAGCTACTTAAAAGGGTAATTCCACTCCTGCAAAGGCACAAACAAACACTGCTGCTGAGTATTAGTGCAGAATTATGTCAAAACTAACAATTTAAAACACAATGGCCAAGAGGGTTTTTTTTTAAAAAAAAAACCCTTTTACCCACACTGTTGCACATTAAAATCAAAGCAGCCCTAACTTATCGAAATGACATCAAAGTCTGCAGTAAAAAACTCTTATCCTAGCTCTTTTTAATGCTACAATTGTAAAGTTTGCTAGAAGTGAGTGAACTTCCCAATACTGAGCTTTTAGTTCTTACCCTAATGGTTCTTCTTCTCGCTTCTACCCTGCTATTTCCTGAAGTCACAGTCAACCACAGAAGGAATCCTGCATCTGCATCAAGGTTCTGTCAGAAAATTGGCAAATCCACTACACAACAACAGATTTCTCTAGTCCTTCACCCATCCATCCCTTATGTAATTAGCATAGGAGAGTACATCATAAAGAGTACTTAGCCCTTCTTTATGAGCTATTTTTAATTCTCCTTAAAAAAAAAAAAAGTTTCACTAACTAAATCAAGAAACTTAAGAGATTTAAAGGTCAAAAAACCACCAGCCTGAAGGCAGTCCCTTCATGTAACAGCACAGTCTCTATTCACAGAAGCACAAACTGTTTTATAATATAACCTGCTGTAATTATTAAACTAACTTTGTGGGAAACAAAATACACAGCAAGCAGAAGTAGTATTTTATACAGCACTGAAGCTTTCGTAGTTTTCTAATGTGAATAAGGCAAATTTTCCAATCATGGAATGGTTTGGGTTGGAAAGAACCTTAAAAGATTATCCAGTTACAATTCCTCCACCATGGGCAGGGGGACACCTTCCAGTAAACCAGGTTGCTCAGTGCCCCCCTAAATAATTCCAGGGATGGGGGATCCACAACTTCTCTGGGCAATCTGTTCCCAGTGTGTCACCACCCTCATAGTGAAGAATTTCCTCCTGATATTTCATCTAAACCAATGCATAAACTTATCTTTCGAAAGTTTAGAAATATCTCAACTACATCTGAAGCATGTTTAAATACGAAGCAAAAATCAGTAAACTCAATCAGAATTAACACATTTTTTCACTTTTAATTCAATTTGCAGTCTTTAGATTGTACTAACTCAGGCTTCTGCTTCTAATGAAGCACCTGACCCAAACACAAAAGCTCTGAACTGAAAGATACAGAAAATAATGTTATAATGAGTCATAATGAAAAATAATAAAAGCCTTTCCAGTGCTCAGATAAAGCACTTCTAACAGAGATTATGGCAGCAGCGCTAAGAGAAAGGAGCAGCATTACTAATTTCCCAGCTGTTTAACAGAAAACCGCCTATGCTCCACTTGGAACACGATGGAATTGTGCGAGGCAGGTCTCAAAAGGCTGAAAAGTCTTTGCAACTAAATTCACAGTTAATTAGATTTCTAATTATACCTAGAGCATTAGTGATTCCCGTGGTTAAAACCGCCTGAACGCTCTTGCTTTTTCCCTCTTTCTGAAAGCTCAGCCTTTCGCTGTTCAGGCAGAAATTCTAGAAGTTTTAAAAAAGATGTATGCTCGGGCACAGACTAAAGTTAAAACAGAAGAGAAGAGTTCTTGTGTACGGAGAGCAAAGTTAAATTTTTCCATGATGAAGGAAAAAAAAAAATAAAAAATACTCCCCTTAAAAAGAAAAAGGTGGCTGTGGTATTGGTGCACCCAGAAAGCACGAAGTGCAGAGCCTCTGATGTGGTGAATCTGAAGGTTAAAAAGCCCCAAACCAGCATTCCCAACAGTTCAGGTTGCACACTTAGTTCTTAAGGCACTTGCACAGATGCATCTGAGGCAGCTTCTGGCAGGAGCTTACATGAGTCACACCATACCCTAATTACAGTACCTACATCAGCACTGCCTGGGCAGACCGTGTGGTTTATTATCAATACAGCCCTTTGAAACACTGCTGTGTTCTCACAAGTATCAGAAAACCTCTTCCCCAAGAAAGCAACTTCAGCGTGTTGCTGCTCTCCTGGACCACACAGACACAGAATGTGCAGTTACAGGACAGAGAGTCTCATTGGGCCAACTGGACACGAGATGAAAAAACCCTGAGACCTTTATTCTATTCATAGCTCTGCCCTTGAGCTGCTGCATGACACAGAAAAATTTGACTTTCCTGTGCCTCAGCTTCCTCTACCTTCCTGAGTCAAGTCTGTTTATCACTCTGCATCTTAAGAAACGTTTCTCGGTACATTTTTTTCATTAGTATTTCTAGGCACCATCACAGCAATGTTTATATAGCATTTTAAAGCAATTCTGAGATTGATTCATTTGTGACAAAGACAAAAAGATGCAATTGCACTTATAAATTATTAACTTTGTCAGCATTTATTTAGAGTAAGCCTTCATATGTAGGAAGCCATCAGCTACTTACTTACCTTTTGTGAAAACTCAGCTTTTACTGATTTCTGTGACATCTTGTTTTTACTGCACAGTGCTTTGAAGAAAGATACCCCTCAGAACATGCACACTCACTGTAGTTAGACAAGATGCCAGTTAAACTTTTCTGTGACTATTAACTCCTTTTGTTCTGTGAGCGATTAAGGGGCACAGTTCCTGCACTGCTGCAGTTTGGATGACTCACATGTTTAATCAGTGTCCAAACACTGAAATCTACAAGATAACAACTGTGATAAACTGATATGCTATAACAGGGACTGAGTTGCAGTAGGAGGGATCCTAGCATCATATTAAAAAAAAAAAAAAAAAAGAAACATGTATAAGCGCTTAAAAATGGAAATA